AGATTACAACAAAAGTTCTATAAAAGCCTCTAGCTTTGTCAATTGTCATATTTAATGAAAATGTTTATGATCGTTTATCGTCTTTTCTGCAAATATTTGTGCTGATACTGTGTAATCTTAAGTGGCCAGGTCAAATGCTATATAAAACAGACAGAAGAATACGAAAAACGTAAGTTGAAATTTTCTATATCAAATAAACATATAAATCAGTCAAAACTTCGTGGTTCTGCTTTCTTCAAATTGATCATGACATCAACACTCAGTCGATTTCGAGAGCAATCAAATGTCTTCCAGACGGTGTGCTATCAAGGTACAAAGATAAGGGTGCCCATTTATATCGATTCGTTTGATGTGGAAAGAAAAGAATACGTATTTCTGCAACATGTTGTGAGCTATTTTCCAACAGTTTCCTCATTTACTCTCAAGGGAAAATTGATCCCATTTCTTGTCGATAATACAGGACGTCAATTAGAGCCATATCGAATTCGCGCGAACCGATCTCACGAGATCGAGGCACACTCAGCTGAACAATTGACAATAGGTAGTTCAGAAGCTACAAACTGTTCACACCTCGTTGAAAGACTAGACCAAGTTGAGAAGCAGACCGATAAAGTGAGAGCAACTATGATTGAAACGGCTAAGAAAACCACGAATCAATATCCAGAGCTTGCTGAGTTTTCAATACCTCGATTGTTCATTGCCATCAAAGAGCCTAACAAGACTGATGTGAACCGATATCATTTTCGACTTCATTTTCTATGTGACTGCAAAAATAATATTCATCGAACTGCTCATGAAGGTTATATTATCAGAAAACCTCGACAATTCTTCATCAAATACGGTCCCTATCTTCATTCTATAATAAAAATAGTGCAAGGCGAAGTTTTTATCGATGGTTTCCTTGTTCCAGATTTCTCATCAATTGCTTCTTTTATTTCCATTCCGGACGTACTCAATGACGGTACTCTGTGGGATACTAGGAACACTATGATCAATGTCGCTACAGAAAGCTTTTCATTAGATCAACATACAACAGCATCATCTTTTGTTGACTCTACAGGAATGAGCCTGTACGGTGATGATTTGCAAGAGCTAGTTGCTCTTTTACAAGGTGTTGATCCAAACAAAACGCTAGGTGGACTCAAAAGCACAATGGATGAAGATGGAGATCTACGCTGGGTATGCATGCTACATCTTGATAGGCCTGATGTCGCCAAACGAAGAGCCGTTTTTACCCAGCAAATTAAGAGAATCAATGGTAAATACGATGCCGATAATCATCGAGTTACTTTCACTGGCGCGCAAGATTTTCAGAATTCTAAACAGTTATGTGCAATCATAAACAATGGCATTCGAATCGATGAACTAATAATTAACGATTGTGTTATTAAAAAGAATAGTTTTCTCAAAATTTTAGAAACAATTAAACAATCATTCATACAACTTCTGACTCTAAATAATGTTACAGTATGTGGTCAGAAACAATTGCAAGTGCTAACATTACTTGCGAAAACACTTTCTGAAAAGAAAAAATTCTTGACACTTTACGTGATCAAGTCGCAGATTCTGAATGAAGTAGTTGAATACATGATAAAAAATGAGACGAATACTTTTGTTATTTTGCAACTCAATTCCAAGAGCTATATTCATGTAATTCCTGCTCTCGATTATGAATGGAAACCCATTCCTGTAATTAAAACTACCGAGCTTACATCAAGTTGTGAATTACGCGTTCATCAAATGTTCATGGACTCTACTACATTGAAGGCCATATCAAGAGGACTTAATTCTAATAGTCGACTTGAAGGAGTATTCTTCAAAAAGGTTGAATTTGCTGTCAATTGTGAAGATGCCGTGGTAAATTTTGCAGAGACGCTGCAAAGAAACACTTCAATCTCATGGCTTACGTTAGACGAATGTAAAGTTAGCAATAAGAACATGGGCAATCTTTTCAAAATGATTAAAGAAAATAAGACTCTTCGTTATTTAACCATTACTCATCAAAAGCTACCTTTGTTTGTTGTCACAGAATTATGTGACTTTCTTGAAGTAAACACAACGTTGATTTCATTGAACCTTGCTCATAATCAACTCTCGGCTGATCATGCACGTCTCATTGCCAATGCTTGTAGTTCGAAAGCAACATTAAAAAATCTCAATGTTGGTCATAATAATATTGATACTGAAGGTCTTAGATCCATTTGCAAGATGTTAAAACACAATACAAAAATCAATGAGATTGCATTGAGTGGAGCACAGTTTAATGAACAGGACCTCATAATCATTGCTAAAATGATCAAAAAAAATAATGTGTTAGAGACGATCTTTCTACTTGGAGAATGTAGTGAGAGTAATGGAACAGAACTCTTACTCGATGCAATACGACAAAACGAAGTAATAAAAAGTATACACTTATCTAGAAATGGATGGTCTGACGATGCAAAAACCAAATTTAGATGTGATCATAGAATCCGTTTCGAATAAAGAAAAAATTATATTTTCCACTGATTGATCGCCTTAAGAAAACGAATACTATACAACATTCAAGTCATCCACACTTTATGTAGTAACACTATCATATATCTCATCTTTTAGCGTGTACCTGTAATGATTAACTAATATTTTTAATCTTTATAATTCTTTAATCATTTGTGTCCTTGATAAATTAGCAACTTCTCCCACTTACAGGAGTTATGAAATTAGAATATATTCTAAAAAGTCTGCTAAATATATGATGTAAGGCTCATGAAGATAATAAACCTTTTTGTAGTTTTTATTATTCTATGCTTTGTTTTACAAAGAAGGCTATGTACATACTGCTGAATGAGATGCGCACTCATATTTCTCTCTAGAAATAACATCGAATCATTCCAGCTCATGACGCAAACCATGAAAAGCAGTTAGGATCCTATAAGATTGACATTTCTGGTTTTCATTCGGTTGAAATCAGAAATCTTTTTGAGTATGAGCAAGAACACCTGAGATCAAACGACACTCTTCGTCATATATCCTAATTATACGTACATCAGTCCATACAGTTACCGGTGAAAATGATACAAGAGTCTCTCTTGATCAAAGTTTTATATTAGATCATAGATTAAATTAATTAGTTATTCTTGTTCAATTATTATGTTTTCCAAAGGAAGATAATTCATTCAATGAAAATCCTTCGCATGAAAAAATAAAACTACGTGAAAAATTAAAATGGTTAAGAAAATGTCATCATCGTCATTTTTATTGATCTCAGTAATAGAAAAAAAAAGTAATCTCTTTTATTTTCTTTTTTGAAATAATTGATTTTGTATTCTTTTTAGAATATTAATAAATAAAGTATACTTTGATAATTTTACGTATTTTTTATGAGAGAATTGGTCTTAAAAAAGCCAAAGAGGTGAAGTAGAATAAATGGTGATCTTTGCGCTCCCTTGATAATTTCTTTGTTTTTTTTTCCTATGCTATATCTTTCGTTGCTAAACTATCAGCCAGTCAATAGAAGACAAGTCTTATATTAAAAACATTTATAGAGAAATTAAAACACAAAATGTTATTGAAAAGTATTGAACATGTACAATAGAACAAGTTTTCTTAGTTAGGAATTGCTTCTACTTTGGATTTTTTATTAACTACTAAACATAAAAGTACAACAATATAAATGTTTTTGCAACTGCTGAAAAGTTCTAGTGTTCAATTGTAATTGAAAACTTCTGACATTAATCTTTACGAAGTAAGTCGATTATCTACTCTGTCCAAATTTCGAAAATTTCGCTTTTTCAACCAACAGTTGAGTAGCTTCTTAGGAAAATGAAAACTATGCCAGATTCTGGGCTCATAGTGTATCATAAAGTTCTCCTCTTCACTTCAGCTGACGAAAAAAATTAGATTTGAGCTATTTTCAATAGGGTTGTGGAAAGTCAACATTTTCCCCTTGTTTTGAAGTTTATTTCAATAAAATTTATATAACATGTGGAGTAACGGCATATTTATTCAATACTAAACAATCTAGTGTATGATATTCGATAGCAAATTATCAAATGTATATATCCATAAGAACTAGAATCTTCTTCATCTATACTTACCGTCATTTTGAAGTCGGTTTTTTAACTATTGTGATAACGAGACGAATCATGTTAAGTAGCGAATTTTTCGATCTTTGATAATGAATAGCAAGTATAAGAATTGAATTATTTATTTTCGTGCTAGTGATTTATTTTCTTTCACTGTAATTACTTTAAATGAAAACGAATGTTAAACTAACGAAATTAGATCAATAAAATGTTATTTTGGCTGAAAATTTTGCAGATACATGTTTTTACTCATCTTATTGATAGTTATCGTGAAATTTTTCAACTATTTAAAAATCAACATTTACAAGATTTAATCTTTGAATAATTATGTAAAATTGAAAACTAATAAGAATCTATATTGTTATAAGAAATCTTACGTTTTAAAAAAGCTGGTGAACTTTAATCAAAATTAATTAAGGATGTGGATGTGGACCTGTATGTGATTGTACATGTCGGTGCGAGTGTGAATGGGTAGGTGTGAGGTGTGAAGTGCGGATATGAGCGTGAGTGGTGATAGGCGAATGCTGATGTATAGTGCAGTATTTAATTTATATAGTCAGAAAGAGAAAAGTTTTGGCTACAAAATAGCTCTAAGAAATTAGTTTTGTCCAATGAAAGTTATGGCAAAGAAAAGCGATTTTTTTTTTGTCAATAGAAGCAGGGCAAAAATCAGTTACTTCTTTCTTCTTTCGTTGAAAATCTTAGAGCGATAGCAGCCTTAATACTTGATAGTATATTTGATAAATAGCCTAGGCAGTAAGAAGTTTTTTTTAAAATTATCGAAATCCATTGAGCAGAAGTTGAGATATGAGCGTTTTACTGTTGTCAACCCAATGGTACAATATGAGTGTAATTCACCCATATTTGTTAACTGTTTATGTGAAGGTTTCAGTAGTGTAGACAGAATCCTGAAATTTTTATGAATATGTTGCTGTTCGAGAAGAGTGTCTTTACTTGTAATGTATTTTGATGTGTACCGCATTGATTAAAATGGAGTGATCATGAGAACAACTTTTTCGTAAAGAAAATCTGAAAAATTTCATCAGAGCATATTACATAGGATCATCGCAGTGACCTCGAGACATTTTCTATCTCGATAGAAAAGTTGCATTTGTGAGTAAGTATAGTTTTCTAATTACTTGTTCTTATCAATTGTTCAATTTAGAGTTTATACAACGCTAAAGTGACCAAAGCACAATACTATCTATATTGAATCTTTAAATAATAAGATGTGCACAAGCGCTAAAAATAATCAATAAACTTCAGAAACAATGGAAAATTGATTGTGTCCGAGAGTCTTCTGAGATTTATTTTACTGTGTTCATTCAAGAGAATCCTCTTATGTCTGGTGAACTTTAGTCACTTTTTACTGAATCAATATTTGATATCTTTCCAATGTAGGATTCATACCACGAGTTACTATATATGCATTGATTTGAAATGATTCATTAATTAGTCAAATCATTTAATTCAAAGTGGTGAAAGATATTATATGTTTATTAAAGCGATTAATTATTAAAAAAAATATGCATGTCAATGTTTTTGGTTCTAAACCATAATGGTGAAGCTCTACCAATAGTCACCATACCAATAACCAGGCCAGTAGTCTCCATAAGGATATCCTCCGCCATATCGGTACCGATGTCGACCATATCCTCGACCGTAACGGTATGGGTCATATACTCGAGGATATCCACGGTATGGTCGACGGTATCGATAATAATCCCAATAAGGATCGTCATAGATCATTCCACCCCATGAAGGATAGTAATCCCATGGATCCCAACTCATTATTTATATGATATCACGCTAGAATTAGTATGAAGATAAAAAAGATCTATAGATAAATTTTACTTAATGTCTACACTTACGTGTTTTAGAAATAAAACTTGTATATACAATTGAATGAACATCAATGAAGAAGGTATGTGCTTTTATACTCAACAATCTCGTCTATTTACGTTGTTTTTGTTGAATCATCGTCAGTTGGAGAACAACCTTAGAAGTAAACATGTATTTTTCAACAACCCACATACTTGTTTTACTTCTATTACTTGCGATTACGAAATATACCAAACCTTGAGCTATCTACATTAATCTAAGTAACCATGCGTGATATTGCGCTTCAAAAATAACCAACTATGCTCAGTCATGTGAGGCTTAAAAAGTACAAAAATATATTGACCTCGATTGATTTTTTATTAAATAGACCTCGGACCCTAAAAGTTAAGTTCTTTTAACTTACAATAAACGAGATATTTGCTATGTTTAATATTTTATTTCATATTTAAATATATGAAACAAATTAATCAATCTAATATTAAATTTACTTATTCTATCTAATACAAAAAAAAAAGGTGACAAAAATTCTTTTTTGTTTTAATATCTATATGAAGCCAGAAAAGAATGGCTTATCAAATAAAACTATGATGAATTTGAAAAATCATAAAAATTTTATCGTTTCATCGACGTTTTCATTGTTTAGCATTACTATAATTTCATTTTTGTCGATTATAATGATATTGTTGATTAACAAGTCGATGCGATAAATTTTTTCATACTGTAAGACGTTCAATATTTTTATTCGATCTTAATTCTTAGTTCAATTTAAATTTAAAGTTTTCATTTTTCGATATAAATACTACAGCTGCAAGTCATTCAATATCATTTCAAGAATAGATGGCTTGGCTATTCTAAAAATAAATATCAATCATTATTCGGTCGTAAAGTCAATTCTTTTATCTAGATGTTATTTCGGTAAATGGTCAATATAACTATTTCATTTATGAATAACTGAATCTTCTACAGATAAAACTAGTTTTGTTGTTAATGGAGTTGACAGGTGATCTTAAAGAGATTTTGTTTCCACGATTCGTTTGAATAGAAGTGGTACACCACCAATTATAAACTTTACTTGACGGTCTAAGAATGATTTAATCAACTTAATCATAATGTGAAACAGAAATCAATGGTTGGTTTTCGTAAATTATATCTAATTCAACAATGTTATGTTGATAATCTGGAAAATAACAGTACAAAGCTACTTCAATTAATTCAGTATTTGAATAAGCTGATCTGTAAGTTTAACATATGCAGTGTGAAAATTAACATGCCAAATATTTTAATCTCAACGAAAACAACACAATCGATCGATACTTTAATCAAATACATATGTATGATAATTCATCAAACGATTAAAAAAAGATAGCTGATGAAGTAAATGATGGTCATTTGATTAATATCTAGATGAAATACTAATATTTTACATCGATGTTTGTTGATTAATAACACCATTTGATCAACTGCTGAACGAGAGAATAGAATTGATTTTTAAACAATCAAAATCAAATAATATCTTTAAACAAAATTAAAGCGTATTATGAGACAGACAAATCTAAATTTGGCTAGTTTTGAATGATCTTATAAAGACTACTTTATTAGATAAAAAAAAAGTGTTTACATATGAATCTTTACCTTGCTCAAAATTTACTGTGCTTGCATTTTAAGAATTATAAATCTGTACGATAGATGACATTATAATATTTGATTAATTCAAATTTTCAGTCAGATGCTTAGTAAATAAGAGATAAGATTTGATTGAAATGACATAATAAGTTCTTATTAATTATCTTTACATCACATATTCATAGTAGCAATTTGATCGAAGCAACATATATCAAATTTCGAGTCATAGTACTAGATACTTATTTAGTTTACGGATTTGTTTAGAAAAAAGGGTTTCCTAGTAATCTTCACATATGTTACATACAACTGTACTCAATGAACAAATATTCATGTAATTTGTTACATTCACTATATAATCAAGTTCTTTGCATATCAATAATTTATTTACAAGAAAAAAACATAATCATACAAAAGAAAATATCTTGACGTATTTTTGTTCAACTGCTGAATTTATTTCAATTTGAAATCTTACATCAAATCCAGAATTTCAGCTGTTATATGACATAGGTAACCCATATTTGTCGAAATTCTTCGCATCAGACCAATAGAATATGCTATAAACAATACATATGATCGGTTAATAATATCAATAGGTTTATTCATAGCTATACCTATTTGCATCAATTAACAAAAACATCAATCATATTGACATAAATATTTGGATGATAGCAAGTGAAATATCCACTTGTTTTTTTTTTTAAACGAATTCAGAAATGTCAATAAATATATTTTGCTGTATCTAGATCATCACGATAATGTGGATTTTCTTTTGAAAAATCTTTCACTAAGTGCATAATCTAATCGATAACATTTATTACAAACAAAAACAGAAAAAAAGTTAATAGTATAGAAGAAAACAAAGTTTTTATCTATTTTTTGATGAATATAATGATGCTAATTGCACATGATTCTCATTCTTATTATTATAATATTGAACAAGAGCCATATGAAGATGATCAAAAGTGTTTCATCAATCATCAAAATGATAATATATTCGCAATTATTTTTTTTTTGTAATAATGTCAACAACGAAAACAACAAAAAACAACAATCACGACTTATTTTTGTCATTTAGGTTTAGTTGCTAAATCCAATACACGCCTAAAAAATATGTTATTTTTTTTGTAACGTCATTTGATGCTAATTGTATAGACTCGCACCATATTCACAATTATTTTATGACGATACAGCAAGCATAGTTTCTTATGTGATGAAAACGGCAAACTTGTTATACCAGTTGAATATTTAAAATAACACAAAGACTAAATCCTTTAAAAATCAAATAAAACAATGTTGTACTAATCAAATCTATATAAACGTTTTTCATTAGCACCATTTCACACATTCACTAATGCCTCAAAACTACCAATTCCTAATATTCGATATTGTTTATGAAAAGTAATAGTCTCGATGGCTCTTTCTTTTGAACAATAACATTTGAATGCTGTAGATGACGATCAGAATGCTTTAGACATGTTTTTCTCGATAGAAAAATATGATTTGTAATTAAGTATATTATCATAAGTATAGATCATATATGATACTTGAAAATGGAGAAGAAATAATAAACTGCAGCTAAACATGTTTTTATTTCAAAGTTTCAATTGACTTGTTCTTTTTCTGTCATCACAAGACTAAATTCAATTCAGATAAGTCGTTAAACATAATCAATATTCGATGACGGAAAAGAACAAGTCAATTGAAAATTTAAAATAAAAAATGTTTAGCTGCAATTTATTATTTCTTCTATTATTAACTATAGTTTTCTAATTTCTTGTTCTTATGAATTGGATCAACTTGGAGCTCATACAATATTACGGTGATCGAAGAAAAATACTATCGATACTGAATTTTTAAACAATAATAAATACACTGATGCTGAGAATAATCAATACACTTCACAAACGACCTTCACATCATTTTTGTATTTAACTAAGATATACTTGTTCAAGTGCTTTTCTATACGGTTCAATATTTCTTCCATATGTTTTGAATTCGGATTAATGAAACTTACAACTAATAATCAGACAGAAAGGGAAATATTCAAAAGTACGATTAAAAAGATTCTCTTGTCAATTAATAATAACCATTTCTCATTCTGAATTTCTTGTTTCATAAAATGCTTGTGCCTTTTCAGTTCTGCTAGATATCGATTTTTCAATAGGTTGCCAATCATCATCTCATCAAGAAGATAAATTTTCTTGAATTTTTCGTCATCCTGCATTTGGTAGTAATGAACAAAATGTTAAACATTCCAACTTAATATTGAAAAAATTGTATTAATAAAATTTGCATCATACCGAATTTTAACGTTACTTGTTTGATGATTTGATTGAATAATAGCTTAATTAATATCATGATCATCGAAATTCGAAACGATTTTGATTGAAAAAAAACGAAAAAGATAATTGAGATACTTTAGAATAGGTATCTGTTGGTCTTAGCGATATTATATGAATGGCCAAATCAATTATAGATGTCGTCGGTCTTAACATGCTTCATTTCTCATTAAATGAAATGTTGTTTCGAAAATAATACAAATAAGTTTTTCTCAATATTATTCTAAAAAAATATCTATATAGCACACGATAATGAAATTCTATTTCATTATATAAATAAAACAGAAATTACATAATTAAATAAACCAAAAACATTAAATGTTTTGACATGTTCAATGATTAAACAGATTTATTCACAGATGAAAGTATGAGTTTTTGTATTTTCTACTAAGTTTTCGTTTAATAATTATTTAGGAATGCAAATCAAATAGAAAAACAGAATTAATTATCATTAAAAATACTGAATCAAAAGGATTCTTTGCTGATTATGATATTAAAAGTAATAAAAACACAAACACAATTATGTAATTCATTTTAGCCAATAAGTAAAACATTACTTCTCTCAATGACATGATCTAACAGTGAAAATATTCGAACTGATTACTTCAGAGATGAATATCAACTTATTTATCTTATTGGAACTTACAAAATACCGGATATTACATTGATCAATCGTATTACAATGGATGGAGTATGTTGAATAGAAGTAAACATTTATCAATTAGTTTATTACAGGGTTGTGGTTTATCAGTACACGCATTATTTCGAATAGCTGCAGAAATAACAACTGTTGTTATACCTAAAACAGCTGCTGATAAATAAAAAAATTGTTCATTGATTAATGTGATTGGTTTTATTTTAAAAAAAGAGTTATTTTCGAATGCTGATGGTTCATATTATCTTCCATGTAGATCGAATAACCTTGGTGTGTTTCTTTGCTGAACAGGTCATCGTTCACATGGTATAGATGCTGTTTATGTTGGTGAT